GAGAGAGAGAGAGAGAGAGAGAGAGAGAGAGAGAGAGAGAGAGAGAGTGAGAGAGAGAGAGAGTGAGAGAGAGAGAGAGAGAGAGAGAGAGAGAGCTAGATAGAGTTTGTCGGTCGGCCGATTGGAGGCGTCGCGACGTGAAAGGCGCGGGACTCCGGCAGCTAATTGTCATTATCGGGAGGATGAGTTACTACGAAGCTCGGAAATGACTTTCGCCGAAGCGTCTTCCGTGAACGGCCGCGACACGCGTCGCTCAACTCTCCGCCGACGAGAATTTATTTGACCCCGTGCACTCGGGCCCATTCTAATCTTTAATGTATCCGACACCTTCGCGTTCCTTCGCGCGGTAATGAACATCGAGGCTGAGCGACTGGTTTTCATTTTCGGTGATTTATTGGACAGGAAACAATTTGGTATATTAAAGTGGCTCGGTTACTTTACCGTTTACGTTGCGACGCGACGCTCGGGTCGCGAAAGGTTAAACGTCGAAGGTGGTGGAAAGCGTAATTGTTTCATTTCAGTAGGTCTCGGCGCTGGACTGAAGGATTTAGAATGCACAAGTGCAACTGTAGTTATATTTGCGCGGAGCCCCTTGCAATTTTTATTCTACGATTGTCGAGATTACTGAGATGCTTCGACCGGAGGTCATTAAATAAATTTATTCATGGAAACCTATGTCGATATAAGAATTTTAAGCAAATTAGATTTTGTTATTATTATACAGTAACACGTAATGCCAATTCGACAGATTTCTCCCCGGTTCTAAATTAAATGGTGTGTTATACATTTCGTTTTTAATTAGTCGCGAGCGTCGCTAATAATGTCAATTTAAACTTACTTAATTTCATCTTGGATTTTCTGTTCTCAAAGAACTTAACACCGAGGGATAAATTAAGTTAGGAAAATGTGGGACGGATTTTGAGCACCCATGCAGCATTGTTAACCCCTTGCCATACTTTGACGAATTCGACTCGCGATGAAAATTTCTAGTAATAATTCATTGAGTATATATGTTATTCTGCTGTTTAAAATTTGAATAAAATTCTAACCTCTTGTCATCAATATTCAAGTATTCCAATAAATTCAGGCATTTAAAATCAATTTTCTTTCCCTTCTAAGAAATCACTGCAATCGAAAAATTTCACGTCAAGGGATTAATAACCTGAGTTATTCCATCAACGTTAAAAGTATCAATAAAAGATACTTTAAGCAAGCTTTATAACAAGTTTGCGAAGAAAAAATCATTAAATACAGTAGTGTCTCCCTAATTCGCGCTCGGATTGCGCACAAAAATGGACAATTTGGGAAGAAGAGATACGATTATTCGAGCCTTGCGTCTCGCTTTTATACTTGTTGACAATCGGTAAACTATAAAAACGAGCCGCAAGTCTCGAATAATTTTAATATCTATTTTTGTGCGCAATCCGAGCGCGAATTAGGGAGAAATTACCGTAGAACGTGGAAATAGAATTTCTCTACCGCGTGTTCGCTTCGTGTCCTCCTTTCATAGATCACGAAGACAAATTCCGATTATCGGCACACATGTCGATAAAACTGTATATAGCGACTCGGCGTTGCTTCCCCGCCTACCGGAAGCACCCAATAAATTCACAATCGACCGCAATCTGTCGATCAAAGTAACAGACACGGCAGAAGTACAGCTGAATACTTCGAGCGTATTTGATCTGCGCGGAAGGGTGGCAATTTGTAGCGCTCGATCGCAAGATAGGGACCCTTTAAGTGACCGCCGAATGTACTGTCTAATTACCGTCAGTAATTTCATCGTATCGAGGAGGGAAGTACTCACTTTGTTGTACTGTTCCGTATTTATCCGAACCAAATCTCGAACGATCGATCGAAGGGCCCGGACATCTTGCCCTCGAGGTTTAAATCGACCGCAACAAGGTTCCCAAAGGCTAAATTACACAGTTCGAATTGGAGACCAGCTGCGACATCTACGCACAGGTGTATTATAGAAACTTGCTCATCGTTTCTACCGGCGAGTGAATTGCAAAAGAATGTCATTTTCGTTTCTTCTTTTTCCCCTTGTGTTTCGACACGGTTTAATATTTTTTTTTAAATCGACGATATAAGCTTGATTAAATTTACGAACTCGATCTTTTCGAATTCTTTAAGCCTATGAAAATCAAGCAAGATCTACGTCTTGTTGTATATCTTATATATTCACTTGTCATCTTCTTATCTGCTTACTTCTCAAATATTTTTCTTCGTCGGATAATTTTCAAACTTATGGCTCTATTCTTTAAAAACTGAGACACTGGAAAACTTTATAAAACGAAACAATTTTCTACGCGATTTGCGAGAGTAAAAAACCAGACATAAACTTCTAAAGT